TCGTTTAAGGTTATTTATTGTTGCAGGAATAATGAATGTAAATAGATTAGTAAATAAATAAAATTAAATTTGTTTTGGTCCCAAGCCTCGGTTACACCAGAAATATGATTAGTGGCTAAGTAACAGTAAATTTGACCTGAAAACCATATCTTCCCTGAGATGGACTGTTTTCATTTGGTTAAGGTATACTTGTATTTTATGAAGACATATTGTAAAGTAAAGTTAGAATGTGAGAAATGTTAAACATCAGAGACTAAATTATCCACTTATTATCTTTGTTTAAATAGTCCACATTGAAAGCCTACATAATAATCATTCACGGTAATGTGAATGTAGGCTATAGTGTATAGTGTACTATACCCTTGTGTGTGTAGAAAGAAAGAAAGAAAGAAAGGAGGAAGGAAGGAAGAAAGAAACATATGTTAGGGCACACCATAAAATTGCAGAAAAACAATCAAACATGAGATCACTTTGGTATTAAATTCCAGACTAGTCAGCAGTTGCATTAATCTAAAGTTCATTGACTAGAATAGTGGGTGGAGTGAGTCCACCAGCCAGCACTCCACAAGGGGCTTAAAAACTGCTTTAAACTTTTGGTGGAAGTCCCGTGCCCTTTTGGAGTTTCCTTACCCTTTAATTTATAAACTTATTTGTAAAAAAGCTTATTTTAATTGATTCGTATGCAAATCCGTTTGAGTTATGTGAAAGATATTACATTTATTTGAGCTTCTGATTTTAGATATTTTTTTAAACCTTCTTTTGTGAATAGCCTATGTGCAATATGTACCCATATGCTATCTCGTTTTTTTTTTCTAGAATAAAATAAAATGCCAACTAAACTATCTAAGGTATGTTTGCATGTTGTAGGCTTGCATGTGATGTTCTCAAAATGACTTATCCTATAATATTTAGATCTTGCAATAGTAGATAGTATTAATACATTTGTTAAAAAAAGAGAAAAAGAATATGTGACGACGAGTCACCTGAAACTAACAACAAGCCCAACCCACACACGCCGTGACACACACCAGTTCCTTTCCATCATCCGCCTTCAAGAAAACCATGAGCAGACTGGGTGTCTTTCACACGCATGGTGGGTTCACTTGTGATACACACGCCATGAGGTCTGGGACAAGAGCTGTAAAACAAAACACATAAGATGGAAGTGGAGGGAAGACTTCTACGTACGAGTTCAGCAACGACGCCGGCCTGGCGGTGTATAAGGACGGCGAGGAGCTGTTCGCGGCTCTTCGGCAGAAGGAGGATGAAGTTCTTCTGGCTGCTCAGGTGGGCAAGCTCTGCTCATAGAGAACAGACAACTGAAAGAAGACAGAGACACACTCCAGGACAAGTACATGGAGCAGCTGGAGGTGAGACTCGAGACAAGTTTCCATCTCTCTGCAGCGGAATAATAGAGAGTCGTCATAATTCCGTCTTTTTGTTTGTCAAGTCAACTTTATTTATAGTTCCTTTTACCATACAGATTGTTTCAAATCAGCTGTGATAACAAAAATAATTCAACAAAAAGTGTGTTTCTGATAGCCTCTCCGAGTCTGGACAGAACAGTGATGTTTATAATACTGTATGCTGTTGCCCCCCTAAATGTTTTTTGGACACGTTAAAAAACAAACATTTAAAAGCAAGTGTGATCTGGTGATGTTTTCCTCAGAACCAGCCTTAAGCTTGGTGTCATGATCATTTTTAGGGACGTATGAAGTCAGTTTCCACACAGGTCTTCTTTTCATCTCTGATATTGTTCACTCTATCTTTCTTTGAACAGTTTTCTGTTCTGTTTCTTTTAACAGTGCATCTATTTACTATAAGGCAAATGACACTTGCTTTGATAGTTTTTCTAATCCAATCAGACATTTTTTATTTTTCAAAAAACTTTTTCAGGCCAGTTTATCAATATATAAGAATGTTTTTTAGGCAAATATTCAAATCTCATGATGCAACAGTAAATGTAACGGTAAACACTTTACAATAAGGTTTCATTAACTATTTAACTAACATGAACTAAGAATGAACAATACTTCTACAGCATTTATTAATCTTAGTTATGTTAATTTCAACGTTTACTAAATCAAATGTATTTGGTAACATTAATGAAGGTGAACTAACATTCAACAATAATCAACAAACAGATGGATTTTTATTAACAAACATTAATAAAAACTGTAACAAATGTATTACTAATTGTTAGTTCCTGTTAGTTAATACATTAACTAATGTTATCAAATGAGACCTTACTGTAAAGGGTTACCAATGTAACAAATTCTTCATATTTTTATAATTTAGAAATGAGATCTGAAATAAGAACAGGTTCACATCAGATTTCATGCGTCTTGTCTCATTTAATGACTGCAAATCAGAATCAGTTAAAGTTGTATGACTTTTTCAGCTGTGGAAATCAGAACAAGATGTTTAAAAATATATAATTTGATCCCATTTGCTTTCATTGTATGGATAAAAAGCACTGAGACGTTTTTTCAAAATGTATTTCGTGTTACACAGAAGAAAGAAATCAGAAGGTTTGAAACGTCATGAGGGTAAAAGTGTGGAAGACTATCATTGTAAGTTTACTACTACTAAAAATAAAGATTACACAACATAGCTGCGTTTCGCTGTAGGATCCACTAGTGTTGTTTTTATAACGTTAGTGTGATATCTCAGATTAAAATGCAGTGCAGCTGTAGTGATTGGACCTCGGGCTGCTGTGTCCTCAGGAGCTCCAGCAGTGCCGATACGAGCTGCGGGGCAAGCTGGACATCTGTCAGGCTCAGTGGCAGAGCCAGGTGTCTGAGCTGGAGCGAGATGTGCAGGAGCTGCAGGCGCAGGTGGACACACTGACCCAGGCTCTGAGCGAGGCTGACAGCGAGAAGACCAGACTGAAGCATGAGCACAGCGAGCAGAGCCAGAGACTCAGAGAACAGCTGCAGACGGTCAGTGACACCTATACTCCACAGCACACAGCTTTTACCCTTTTTTAAGCATCACGTTTACCAGTGCGGTTCGTGATCTGAACAAACATCAACCCCGAGTATTAATCCGTGGTGTATCATTGGAACTACTAGCATGAAATGGCACATCAAGTAGTGCAGCGTTTGATACATAATTATTAGGGCTGTCAAATGATTCATTGCGATTAATCGCATCCAAAATAAAAGTTTGTGTTTACATATATGTGGGTGCACTGTGCATTATTATTTTATATATATAAATGCACACACATGCTTGTATATATTTAAGAAATATTTTCATGTATATACTGTATATGTAAGCAATAAGGTACGAGAGGCTTGCTGTATCGTGAACGCTTCACGTCGTGCCTAACAACGCCCTTCAGCCGTTACTTATTCATGATACAGCACTTGCCTCGAGTACCTTATTGCTTTTATAAAACGGTTGCCACACAATATTAATGTAAAAAACAATGTATTAGTGCAACTTTCTTGAAGTAAAGTCACTAAAAGCCTTCCTTCCGCTAGAAAAAATAGTCCCTGAGCGTGAACAGCAACAACGTTCCAGTGTGTACAATGCATGAAAGCTCAAATAAAAACAGCATAGAACCGCAGTGTTGTGCAGCGATCAATAGAACCATTGGGTGAAGCGGTCATAGCCGTGTTTTATCTTGAATAAAGCACAGCTCTTGACCAATCAGAATTAAGGATTTGAACTAACTGTTTTATAAAGATTTTTTATAAAGAACTTGCTAGCTAACGATGTGGGAACACAACCTCAACGAAATTCAAAAGGGTGAAATAACAGTACCTTTACCCTCCGCAGTAGTTGGTTGGGAGTATTATAACATTATTAATAATCAATATTCATCAAGGCATGGTGACAGACAGTTGTGTGAGCTGACAAACAATTAAAATAAAAAATACACACTTAAGTCATTGATGTGCTTTGGAGTTTATTCAAAATTATAAATGAATGTGCTACTTGAATATATTAATTGGCACATTTGGTATTCTGTCAACTCAGGCTTTGATCCTTTAGGAGTTTAGGTGTAACATCAGTAGCGAACAGCCAAACACATGCTGATAGAGTTTATCTTCCTCACCGGAAGTTTCACCCACTTTATTTTTTACAGGAGCGCCCCTCGGAAACTTGTGGATACAGTAAATACATGAAAATATTTCTTAAATATATACAAGCATGTGCGTGTATTTATATAAATAAAATAATTATACACAGTGCACCCACATATATTATGTAAACACAAACTTTTATTTTGGATGTGATTAATCGCGATTAATCATTTGACTGCCCTAATAATTTATATTATATATAAATATAAATATTTTATCTATAAATACATGCATGGGTGTATTTATATATATAGAACATAATTATACACAGTGCACCCACATATATTATGTAAACACAAACTTTTATTTTGGATGCGATTACTCGCGATTAATCGCTTGACAGCCCTAGTAATTATACAATGTCGAATCATAATCATTGTAACCTTCTCCCTAATATATTATGTAATGATCATAGTGACAAGCCAGTGTCCATGATATGATCATTCAATTCTGGTGCATTTGTTGCTTTGCCAGTGGAAAGAGAGAATGTGTTCTTTTTTTAAATTTATTACACACGTAATATACGCACACATATGTAGGGGTCATAAAAAAAGACGATAGCGATTAGAAGGCCAATAGTGCAACAGAGACCGTCTCTCGCTCAGAAAAGACGACGTCACACTGTTCCTTGCACAGTGTAGCAGATATGACATGGTAAAATGAGCCACTCACACATTTTTTACTGCCATGTCTGCAATATTTGCTTTAAGTAAATTATGTAACACTTACAATAAGGTTTTAGTGGTTAACTACACAAGTAAACATGAATGAACAATGAACAGCATTTGTAAATCTTAGTTCATGTATGTAGAATCTTATTATCTGATGACATTAATGCTCTGTGAATTGTATTTTGTATTTAAAGGTGCCTTCTGTAACAAAAAATCAAAAAATATTCCATATTCCATAACAGATGGGGGCAGTATACCTCCAGAAAATGTGTTGTGCCGCTGCCGCACGCACTCACGTCTTCAAACAACACAAAAGAGCGCTGTTTTGCTCTCTTTCTCCGCATATTATTCAAATAATTTGACACGATAGTAAAAGGTCGGAAGACCGCAGTTTCACGTGGAGCATTTGGAGATTTTTAGAGATCAGAGACTAAATGAACAACATCTCAACACTAAATGATGAAGACCGACTCATAGACGCCTGTCTCAAAAACAAGCTGTTGCATTTCGACGATATGGGAAAATAAAAGCCTGCAGGCTATTATTTTAAGTTTACGGTATTCGTTTTGTTCATATTACACTTTTATTGTTAGTTTGAATTAATTTGACAGACAGCATTCGCTGATGTTGATCAACCTAGCGAAATTCAGAGCTGCCAACTCTCACGAATTCACCGTGAGACACATGCAATTAACACTTAGCAAGCAGGTTAGTTAAGCTCTCAGATTCTGTCAATTTTATTATGCAATTCAAACAATAAATACCGTTTTGGCGCTTGTACATGTTACACCACAGATCCCTAGCGCACGTGAACCAATCATCTCTACTAGCTAATGGAAAAAGAACCCGAACACTGTTGAAAGATACAGTATGCTACAACTTACCAAAATGTATTCCTCATGCATAATGTCGACCAATCATTTTTTGAACTCTTCCCTGAACTGAAATGTAGTAATGGGCTGTATTTCCACACGACTGACATCAGGTTCAAGTACACACACAAGCCGGCGCTAGTGCGACTCACTCGTGTACTGCAGTTTGGCTGGTGGTAATGTTGCCCGGCCGCATACCGCCTCCCATGGCCGGAACTGGTATTACGACACCTACCGGGCCGGGGCTAGTCATTTAGCATGCTAATTTAGGTTTATATCTCGGCAGCACTATAACTTGTCAGTTTTTTAATTACATCATTGCACTTATTTCTTCTCATTCTTTTGATGCGTGTAGCTCATTTTTTGGATATTTTTACCTCAATTATTACATATGCCACCTTTAACTAACATTAACAAAGATTAATAAATTCTGTAAAAATATATTTCTCATTGTTAGTTGAATAAAGAGCATTTACTAATGTTGAATAAAGCATTTACTAATGTTAACAAATGGGAGATTACTGTAAAGTGTTACCAATCTATAAAAAACATCAAGAAAGTGGTATCATCTCATCTGATCGCAGCATTTCTCTCTGTGATTGGGGAAGTGCTGTTTTGTTGCATTCCTCTTTTCTTTCATCATCCTTTCCATATGAGCTAAAGTAGCAACATCTGACTCATATTCCAAAGATAATAGCATGAAACTCATAAAAACACATTTCAGCGCAAAATCAAAAGAGAAAAACAAGAAAACATATTTTGCATAAAGAAAATGAAACATATTTTTGGACAATTAATATTTTTTCCCGACTATTATGTTATTTTTTTTAATAATAATTTAGTTCATAATGGCTGTTCTCATTACTATAATACAGTAAAATAAAGATTTTTTTAACTTGTCTCCTAGTCAAAACAAGGAAGACCTTGTCTAAAAACAACAACACAAATTAATTTACCGTGCGTATAGACATAATCTAAATTTAGATCCATCTGCTCCTGTTGACTCATTCACACACGTTGCTCTCACATCGGGCTGATATCTAATCTCTCATTTTGTTATGCTCAAGGTCAAGGTTTGCACTGCACTTTTTTTTTTACATGTTTGTGCTCTTGCCAGGAATCTCAGTTCAAACTCATGAGCTCATTTAAAAAGCTGGTTAATCACAGTTTTGCATTACAGACATGCCAAAACACCAGGGCTGTCTTCTGTTCTGGGTGTAGTCATGTGTTGTGGTCAGTTTGAGTTGGAGTAATGGCTAACTCATACTGTTCCACTGGGTGGTCACTGGTCCGCTCATTCTCCACATGACAGTCGACTGAGGTAGACGTCTTTGACGTTTTTTTTCCAAGAAGTCAAGGTTCAGGAAACACTGATGTTTACTGTATGCATCCTGTCCTGCTCTGAAGGAAGAGGAAGTGTCTCTCACTCTTTCCACTGTGGCTCCCGCCGTCTATAAGCTCTTTTTTTTTACTACTCTCGAACAGTGTCTAGAGTGGAGTTATTGATAAGCGGTATTGAATAACTTTTATGGCTCGGTTGGAGATATGCTTTTGTCAGTTATGGTAAACAGACCTTGACTGGTGAGTTTTAAGTTATACTTTTTGAGACTGAAGTAAACTTGTGTTTCTGTCTGTGTGGACCAGTGTACAATAACGTAATATGCTTAATGAACATACTCAATAATGTCTTCATAAAAATGCAGAATGTTTTTTGATTGTGAGAGTGTTTAGATTAGGTTGTGTGTAAGTGTTCCTTATACCTTCTGGTGTTACTGTTACCCCCCCCCCCCCCCCCCCCAGATTGTTTACAGAGAAAGCTCAAAACAAGCAGTAGTTTTTCAAGGAAAGCTGAGCCTTCCTGTTGAAGAGAGTAAACCTCTCAGAATGCTTCAAACACACATCATTCAGGAGTATCAGTTTGATTGTGTTGTTGTTTCTTACATGAGACAATAAACAAGGGTATTTGTAAGAACATAACCCTGTTTTTTCTACACACTTTGAATTCACCTTTTAATGGGTATACTGGAAGTGGAGAGTTGTTGAGGTCACATGACTGATTTAGCACATCAGTCAGTTTAATTGCATTTGTAAATCATTCACACTTGTGCTGTTCTTCAGTCAGCTGACCACGGTGGACCAGTCTTACATAATGCCACACCTAGAGCTATGCTTCAAGTTTACAGCAATAGTGATGCATCCCAACATACAAACACCATCAATGGACTTCAATTGGTTATATGCAATGTTCTGACTTTAGAAAATAAAGTCTCTAATAAACAAGTCTAAAGTAGGGAGCCTCTACACAAAGTTGCTTTCAGAGTTGTGCGCAACATTAAGTTGTTCCCTGATTTTTCTTGTTGGTTTTTCTTCAGATTTTTTGTTTTTGTTTGTTTGTTTGAGTAATTTCACTCTTTTATGGAAGCTTGTTCCGCCATAGAATGAAAAATAAAAAAGGTAATTGTGACTTTTTATCTCACAATTCTGACTTTTTTTCTCACAATTGCGAGTTTACATCTCGCAATTCTGACTTTATTTCTCAGAACTGCGAGATGTAAAGTCATAATTACGTGATATAAAGTCGCATTGCGAGATATAAAGTCAGAATTGCGAGTTATAAAGTCAGAATTGCGAGATATAAAGTCGCAATATACAAAAATTGCATGATATAAAGTCAGAATTACGAGATATAAAGTCAGAATTGCGTGATATAAAGTCAGAATTGCATTCCATAAAGTCAGAATTGTGAGATATAAAGTCACAATTGCGTGATATACTAAAGTGAGAATTGCATGATATAAAGTCAGAATTGCAATCTATAGAGTCAGAATTGTGAGATATAAAGTCGCAATTGCGTGATATACTAAAGTGAGAATTGCATGATATAAAGTCAGAATTGCAATCTATAGAGTCAGAATTGTGAGATATAAAGTCGCAATTGCGTGATATACTAAAGTCAGAATTGCGTGATATAAAGTCAGAATTGTGAGATATAACGTCAGAATTGTGAGATATAAAGTCAGAATTGCGACATATAAAGTAAGAATGGCTAGATATAAAGTCGCAATTGCGTGATATAAAGTCAGAAATCTATCATATAAAGTCAGAATTGTGAGATTTAAACTATTCTGAGAAGGAAAAAAGTTAGTCTTTTTTCCCATTAGAAATTAGCCTTATAACTCACAATTGTGAGTTTATATTTCACAATTCTGAGAAAAGATGTCAGAATTTCGACATGTAAACTCGCAATTATGTGTTATTAAGTCAGAATTGTGAGAAGTAAACTCGCAATTGTGAAAAAAAAAGTCAGAATTGTGAGATAGGAAGTCACACTTCTGTCTTTTTTTCTCAGAATTGTGACTTTTATATCACGCAATTCATATCTCACAATTCTGACTTTATATCTCACAATTCGGACTTTATAACACACAATTCTGACTTTATATCTTGCAATTCTGACTTTATATCTTACAATTCTGACTTTATATCTTGCAATTCTGACTTTATATCTTTCAATTCTGACTTTATATCACACAATTCTGACTTTATATCACACAATTCTGACTTTATATCTCACAATTCTGACTTTATATCTTACAATTCTGACTTTATATCACGCTATTCTGACTTCATGGAATCACGGAATTGTGAGATAAAAAGTCGCAATTATTTTTTCTTTTTTTATTCAGTGGCAGAAACAAGCATACTCTTTTGACCACATTTGTAAAAAAAAATATATATATATATATTTTTTAGCTCTTTAGTGTTAGTGTTGAGAGCTAGTAGTCCCTTGAGAAAAGCCTGTGATAAAAAATGATTAAGAATACATTGACATTTATTGATCTGGGGACGCCACAGGAGGTAGACCCACCATGACTGAGGTCTGGCTCGGGGCATCAGCTGGCAGGACCGTTACCGGATGCTTACAGGAGCTGGACTTGTGCTGGTTAACATAATGGTACGTTAGTGTTATCTTCAGTCCTGAATAGCCTTTCCCTCAAGGGACCACTAACCTTGTGCCGGTTGGTAGTTGAGTGTCATTGAACAAGGACCTCTTGCCACCCCTCCATATGCTGCTGGGCGTGGGGTCATACCCCGCCCCCGTCTCATACACACTCACAGTGGCTCTCTTGGATGATGAGGATGCCACCGCCAAGACTACGATGCCAAGCTGCATCTGTCATGTGTCTCTTTGATCGGGTCCTGAGCGTGTGTGATGGACGCTGAGGGCTGTCCAGTTATCTGCTGATCAGGCTGGTCTCCACAGGCCTCCCAACGCCCGGTGCAGGCTTTTGTGCAGCTCTCATCAAGCGAACGTAACTCCTTTTCATTATGAAAATGGGACACATTCCTTAGTGGAAAAACACTTCTCTTTGTTACTGTTGCGTTCTCTTCTTAATTGCGACTCTCCCGAATATGAACTCATTTGATTTGTGAACACACTGCATGCATTTGAGAGTTTTGTGGTTGATAAGTGAGCTGTGTTGTGTATGTTTAGGGTACGGAAGTAGAGCGAACCATGACCAGCGAGCTTCAAAGGCTAAAACAGGAAATGAGAGAAAGGGGGCATGCCAGACCCCAGGATGAAGAAATCATCAATGCTCTTAGAGAACAGGTGAGGAACGCTTTCATACTTGCACACTCAGATATCTGTATGGCATTATATATGATCAAAAAATAGTCCAGACCAAAATAGACCAGAAATCCCGGACCTCAGATTTGCTTGGCTGAGAGACGTTTAAAGAGGGCTTTCACTGTTTGTCTCTGTGGCTTTCTAGACTAGATCATGTGTGCAATTCTTTGGGGGGGATTCATTCAAGGATTATAACAACCTGCAAACTTTTAGAAAGTTGTGTTAAATTTTTATGTGTGTGTCTATGTTCAGGTAGCACGGCTCACGCAACGGGAGCAAACACTTGAACAGCGCTTGAAGATGACTTATCACGAGAATGAGGAACTTAAAGACAGTGTGTCCTCACTGCACAAACGCCTGGATTTACAGGAACAACAGAGTCACACACATATACAACAGGTTCGGTCACTCACACAACACACACACACACACACACACACACACACAGACTATGCTCAATCAAACAGAATGCTTAAAAAAGTAGTTCACTTTAAAAAAAAAAAAACTTTTGCTGATAATTTACTCACCCCCATGTCATCCAAGATGTCCATGTCTTTCTTGCTTCAGTCGAAAAGAAATTAAGGTTTTTGATGAAAACATTGCAGGATTTTCATCATCTGGAGTAGTTTAAAGCCCTTTAAAGCTGCACTGAAACTCTCATTTGCGGCTTGAACCGTTTGGTTCCCAATGAAGTCCATTATATTGAGAAAATCCTGGAATGTTTTCATCAAAAACTTTAATTTCTTTTTGACTGAAGAAAGAAAGACATGGATATCTTGGATGACATGGGGGTGAGTAAATTATGAGCAAAAGTTTTTTTTAAAGTGAACTACTCCTTTAATGGTAAATATTAAGGCGGGAAACCATTGACTGTAGATTACGTGGAACAGGAAACTGGTGTTCTGCTTGTGTTAGTACAAGATGTCTATGTGTGCACCAGAGGGAGAAATCAACCAGGGCTCTGGGTTGAAATCCACCAGGGCTCTAAAATCACACCAAAAGTGGCAATATGTTTGTTTTGTTTTATAGAGTTAAGAAAAAATATCCTCTTGTAAATGTAAAACAAATCACAAATTTCTGAGTCAAACGTTGGCTCTTTCTAGAAGATAGCGTGCATACATTTGTACATAGCCTACATGAGTACTAATAGATGTTCGCCTGTGTCTCAGCTGGCAGAGGCCTGGCGAGACGTGGACGGGGCTCGTTCATGGGCACATGAGCTGCAGTCTCGGCTAGAGGAGCTGCAGGAGGAAGTGGCCCTCCAGGAGAAAAGCCACAATGACACTTCTTTACTGTCGGAGCTGGAGAACAATCTGGACACTGCAGACTGGAGCCTGGACAAAGAACAGGTGATGCACTGAACTGTTCTCACGGTAACCTGATAATGCCACATTGTACCACACTCTACACAGCAAAATCCCCAGTGTTAAATCAACACTGAGAGTGTTAAATTAACACTGAGAAGTGTGAATTATATAAACTCTGATTGGTGGCACCCAGAATGCAATGCAACATGCTTTATAATTGTCACCATTGTTGAGATTCACAGGCTAATTATTGATGTCTGTGTGTTTTTTTGAAGAAAAAATTAAGAGAAGTAAAAAATTGTATGAGATAAACTTTTAAGAAATTATTTTGAATACATTCTAAATGTTAAAAATATTATGCTGTACAAGGTCACTGCTGTTATAATTAATAAAGTAAACCTTATTCAGAAATTAGGTTCTATATGAATTCAGTGATTTAGGTCAAATGATTGTGAAATACTGATGAAACACAACCATCACCATCAGATCACCTTTTCTATTTGTTCATCTGGCTGTTACAACTCATGTACCTCAGCAAAACAAAATCTAAAGTTAATGAATTAAGGGTCAAGAGCCCAACTAAAGCAAACACTAATCACCATAATGGTGACTTAAAATTACGGTTTTCTCCTTCAGAGATTCTGCTTGTTAACATCAGGTGTCTTCAATAATGCTCAATCATCACTCAATTATGCACGTAATTATCTCATAAACTTTAACACTGCTTCAGTGTTGATGCAACACTGCTCATATAATTCACACTTTTAAGTGTTAATTTAACACTGGGGATTTTTCAAATAAATGTGTTACAGGAAATTTTTCATGGGCCTGGTTAAAATTAATACACGTACAAGGGACAGTGTAACCGGTCATGAGATTTTAATTGGTCCAACAGGATAATAACTATTCCACTAGTCTATATATTGTCTGCCTCTAAAGCCGCTCACACACTGGAAAAGAAGCAGTTCAGCACATTTAGATGTTTTCTGGGATGGATTCTGACCACATTTAATGAAAAATAATACTACTAATTTATTACATGGGTTGGGTGGTAGGGTGACCAGTGTTTTTCCCGAGACAGTCCCATAATTCAGCTCTATTTTTAGATCACAATTACCCGCATTAATACACCGTCGAGCGTCATCATAACTCTGCCATACTGGCCGCTCACATGACGTTAAACATTTTCTGGCGCATAAGGTGACGTTCGAGAACCTAAAACACAGTTTCTCCCAGTTGACACAGCAACACATAACCGGAGTTATCAGAAATCTCCACTTTGGCCAGAGTTTTTAGAAATAATCGTTTTCTGTGATAACAACTGGGTTTCCGTGTAAATGAGAGGCCAAACCGCAGGGAAGTATCTCCCTTCGTCTAAACAGGGCATTAGTGTCTTGACTGATTTTGAAAAAATTGTGTTCCTTATTTCTTCTCTCCTAAATTTTCTGTGCTAGATGATCATAAAAGCAAGTAGTAGTCTACTGTCACGCGAGAATAGCCTAATCACAGGTCTCCAGTCTCATCTATCTACCCTTGCCTATCAGGTCTCTCGGGAGGTGCACGTCATCCTGGAGTTGCTTCAGCCTGTGGCCTACAGAACAGAGGCCGAGCAGAACTCGGATGACAGCCTGCAGGGCATGCTGGGACAATTGAAACATGCAGCACAATGGATAGCACAGAGCGAGACTCTACAGGTAAAGTTGTTTTGGAGCACACAGTGACACAAGCGTAACAGAAGCTGTTTTTTGACAAGTTTTGACATCTCGTTCAGTCTCGCATTTCAACAACAATAGTTCACATTCACAAGCATACAGAAGTGGCCAAAACTGATGTCCGGAGGTGATATTTATTTTTAACGACCTTACAAGTTCGAGGTGAAAAAGACGTACTGTTAAATGTATTAAAAATGTTCTTGAGTATGTTTTTAGTACGATTAGGGATGGGCATTCGATTAAATTTTCTTAGTCGATCGTCGGAAGAATTAACGATCGACTATCGATTAATCATTAATATTTTTATATTCAAATGTATTATTTATTTAACTTTTTATAAATTAAAAATGCAATGAAAATACAAAAATACAGCGTGTTTTTCCTCGATTAGATCTTTATTACAAGATGATTAAACTGGGCGTTCGGTTAGGCTAAATTTGAAGATATGCACGGCGGTTCTCTAACGCAACTGAACCTGCAGCTGCGAGTTGGCCCTCGTGAGACCCTCGTTTGTTCCAAAATAATAAATAAATAACTTAAAGTTAACCAAAAACATAATAATATTTATATCTGACAGGTTTTGTCAAAATGTAACGTTAATTCAACTATCCAAGGCACAGAGTCGAGAAAGGGTGAGAGAGATTAGCCTACTTAACAATCAATTAGGCTAGGCTACTTAAAGCTTCATAAAAAATAACTCGCATACAACGTCTGCTCCAGTCTACTGATTTTTGTTGAGAAAGATAAGCATGTTGATGACATGATCTGGGATCAGTCGCGACCGCAACCTGCATGGTGACCGTGAAGCCTTGTTTACACTTTCGCCTGGCTCGATTAGCGCGCGTCTCTTCAGACTCACACTACGCAACGCAGCAGCATTAGTTTAATGATAATCGATAACTAATTAACGTGATCGACGAAATTCTTCATGATCAATAATCGATCGTCGATTAATCACGCCCATCCCTAAGTACGATACAAATATACTTGCATTCTTAATACATTTAACAGTACGTATATTGCTCAAATATTATATATGTTTTAAATATTTTAAGCTCGAGGGAAGAACAAAATGCTAAACTTGGTTAAAAGGTATTTAAGTAAGCAATACAGTTTGAGAGGCTGTGCTGTATCGTGAATAAGTCACAGGTGAATGGCCTTGTTAGTCTCGACGCCAAGCGGAGTCAGCCGTGACTTATTCACGATACAGCACTAAACCTCTCGTACCTTATTGCTTATAAAACGGTTATCACACAATACAAATATTGAAGCCGAAAAATATGTATCTAAGCAACTTTCATGAAGTAAAATCACTAAAACCCTTCCTTCCGCTGGAAAAAATAGTCCCTGACCGTAAACAGCAACAGAAGTTACATACATGATTTTTCCATTAGATGAAGGCAAAAACTGTCTTTATGAGTGAGTCAGTCAGTACTGAAGATTTCTACATTTACATTTATTCATTTAGCTGACGCTTTTATCTAAAGCGACTTACAATTGCTATATATGTCAGAGGTTGCACACCTCTGGAGCAACTAGGGGTTAAGTGTCTTGCTCAGGGACACATTGGTGTCTCACAGTGGATTCGAACCAAGGTCTCTCACACCAAAGGCATGTGTCTATCCACTGCACCATTTACATTCAAAGGACTCAAACTTGTGAACACGGAAAAGCAAGACACAACTGACAAATGACTAGGGCACAGAAAACCCCTCAACTGTTAAAAGGACAAGATATCGCAGCGAACGTTCAAACGGATTTTCTTAAATAAATATAGGACTGACCTGAAGGATGCTACGTCTACTGTAAAGTACACTCGCGGCCTCGATCTCTCGCAATACTCTACTAAATAAGCTTCAATGAACAACATCATTGAGAATATAATATAGCCTATGTTTATGTTGCTAAGATGGTTGCTAGGGGTGTTGTGTAGTGATACATAGAATTGTTGGGTAAAGCGATCATAGCCACGTTTTATCGTGAATTAAACAGCTATTGACCAATCAAATTCAAAGATTGGAACTAACCGTTTTTAGAATGGACAATTTTGTTTTTAATAATATTTGAATAAAGGGTTAAGATTTCATATTTACTAGAGAATCACTTTTGGCCACTACTCTATATCTTCAAGTATAGCTTCATTCAGACAATATCAGTCATCTTCTATTTGTCCTCGTGGCTTATAAAAAGTTTTGGTAACCCTTCCTTTTACAGTCCAGTTACCCATGTAAATACTATGTACTTATTTTAGTAACTACAATTACAGGGTAATAACTAGTACTAACCCTGAAACTACCCCTAAACCTACCATGTACTTACCTTATATTAGCCAGTACTTTCTAGGTAAGTACACTGTAAGTACTGTACTGTAAAAGGAAGCATTACCAAAGTTTTGTCATTGGGTGAATCTTTCGTAAGCTGTCAAGAACCTTCCCGGATCATATTCCTTTCATATTATAAGGGGGAAAAAAAACAAATAATCATTTGCTTAAAGAAAGTGAAGTAGTTTGAACCCTGGTGTTTTTGGATTGGGATTTTTTTTCCAATGCAAAACAAAATACATATTTTTTAAAACGTATTACATGAATGATCTATTAATAATTAATTCAGCATCAGTATGAAGAGAATTACTAAAAATTTAACTGAAATATTTGACTGAAAATGAACTAGTTAATGAAGATAATGCAAAACATATAATGGTAATATAAAACATGCAACACATTTCTTTCTTTCTTTTTTTTTTTTTTTTTTTCTTTTTAATTATTTGGAGGTAAAATGTCACCTGGACCTGTTTTTGGGAGATTTGCCCATTATGAATGGAGATCAGAAAACATATTATGTATATATTATTGTATACACAGCAGTAATGTCACAGTCCTTCGTCTGCACCATCCTGTCTGCGTCTCCTGCACTACACTTCCCATGATCCTCTCGTCTGCACACCTGAACTCACTCCCTCATCAGCCTCCCGTTCAGCGTCCTGCTTCATCTGTCTCACCTGTTTGCACCTCGTTATGTTTGATTCATCTGTGTATTTAGTTTCCTCTGTTTTATTCAGTCCTTGTCGGTCGATGTGAATGTCAGTGTTACATGAGTGTTTCTACCCGTCTTCCTGCCTGTACCTGTATCCTGTTTCGTGAGATTAAACCTCAGTATTGGAACTCTTGATCTCTGCCTGTTCGTCAGCCTGCACTCCTGCACCCACACCCGTGACAGATCGACCGACCCCCAAAAAGGGAAAAAATATGGACCCTTTCGTAGGGGTTCAATTGCTCTGTTTAGAGCAAACGGACCGGTCTCTGGAGGATCACCTCATGGACTTCCTCTCCCTCGTTCCAGCCACAACCTTCCCGGACGACAGCCTCTGCAGCTTCCTATATGCTGGCCTAAACACCGCCACCAGAGAGCAGTTGTCCGGGAACGGTCCCCAGGGGAGCCTTGCGGCGTATGTTGAGTGGGTGCTGGTGTCCTGCGGATCACCTTTCACCATCGATGATGGCACCAGCCCCACTCCAACGCCCGATCTCTCTTCATCGCTGGTTCCGCCCAGCCCCGTCCAGCCTGAGCCCTCCTCTTCGCTGGTTCCGTCCAGCCCCGTCCAGCCCGCTCCAGAGACCATCCAGCCCGCACCAGAGACCGTCCAGCCCGCACCAGAGCCCGTCCAGCCAGCCCCAGAGACCGTCCAGCCAGAGCCCGAGACCGTCCAGCCAGAGCCCGAGACCGTCCAGCCAGAGCCCGTGACCGTCCAGCCAGAGCCCGAGACCGTCCAGCCAGAGCCCGAGACCGTCCAGCCAGAGCCAGAGACCGTGATCCCACCCAGCCTCCCTCTCCCACCTCCTCCTATCCATCATGTTTTCACCGTCTCTCCACCACTGCTTGGCAGCCCCACTGCTTCCCCGGAGTGCTTCGAGGAGGTAGAATCGTCGTGGGTCTGCCGGCCACCAACTCCATCTGGGTCAGGGGATCCCCGGTCTCCTCCTCGAACCTCCTCGACCTGGTCTCTGCCGCAGCCCTCTGGTCCATTACCTCCACCATGGCTCTTACCTCCCTCACCTCCGCCGTGGCCCTTCAGCCCACCAGCTACTCCAGGCTTCCTCGTCCCCCCGGTTCCCCCTTGGTCCTTCATCGACCCGCCCTCACCCTGGGACTGCGTCCTTCTGGTTCAGTTGGGCTCTTCTCTCCCTCCGGGTCCACCTTGGTCCTCGGTCGCTCTGGCTGCGCCGCTGTCTTCAGGGTCCTCGTCTCGGCCTCAGTCGCCGGAGCCGTTGGTGTCGCCATGTCCCGCCAGCCCGTCTACATCGCCCGGTCTCGCTGGCTCGATGGCTTCACCCGGGTCTCCTCGATCACCTGCTCCGCCTCCATCAGTCGGCTCCCTGGAGTCGTCAGTCCTGCCCCCTCCATGGCTCCTCCCTCCGTCATCTCCGCCGTGGCCGCCGGAAGGGTCTTCACCGCCGTGGCCGCCGGAAGGGTCTTCACCGCCATGGCCGCCTGAAGGGTCTTCACCGCCGTGGCCGCCTGAAGGGTCTTCACCGCCATGGCCGCCTGAAGGGTCTTCACCGCCGTGGCCGCCCGAAGGGTCCGCTCAGCCCTGGCTACGCCCTCAGCCTGCTCCGCCCTGGCCACGCCCTCAGCCTGCTCCGCCCTGGCCACGCCCTCAGCCTGCTCCGCCCTGGCCACGCCTTCAGCCTGCTCCACCCTGGCCTCGCCCCGCTCAGCCCCCAGTTCGTCCCCCCTCCTTCCTCTGTTCTGCGGCGTGAGGTCACGCCTCCCGGGAGGGGGGAGTTCTGTCACAGTCCTTCGTCTGCACCATCCTGTCTGCGTCTCCTGCACTACACTTCCCATGATCCTCTCGTCTGCACACCTGAACTCACTCCCTCATCAGCCTCCCGTTCAGCGTCCTGCTTCATCTGTCTCACCTGTTTGCACCTCGTTATGTTTGATTCATCTGTGTATTTAGTTTCCTCTGTTTTATTCAGTCCTTGTCGGTCGATGTGAATGTCAGTGTTACATGAGTGTTTCTACCCGTCTTCCTGCCTGTACCTGTATCCTGTTTCGTGAGATTAAACCTCAGTATTGGAACTCTTGATCTCTGCCTGTTCGTCAGCCTGCACTCCTGCACCCACACCCGTGACAAGTAACTGCTGAAGTGTGCGATGTTATTAATGGACTAAAGGTTTGAATATTAAACATATTGATATTGATTCATAATATAAAGCTATATTGCAGACACAGGTCCATATAACACATCATACAGTACATGTATATGAATAGATAGTTTAGGTCATTGGTTGAGTGTTGGTGTAAGCATTGAAGTGGGAATTGTGTTCGCTCAGGTTGGGGTGTGTTCAGTAAGGATCAGTGAAGCCACACATGTAGCCCGAGGTGGAGACTGAGAGAGAGAAGGAGGGAGAGATGGAACAGAAGGCTATTTATGTCTGTTACATGATACTGATGCTGAAGAGAGATACACCACCCCGCCATCAAGGCCTAACAAAGGCGACGCTTCACCAATTCTCCCAGGGTAATACCCATGCAGTGCTTAATGCTCCTGTATCATTGGTGTCTGCAGGAGATGAGAAAGTCCATTGTGGGACCGGTGAGCGATCCTTGTGAGAATGTCATCCGGACACAGGAGCTACAGGATCAGGTAACATTTATCCGTGCATTCAAGCTTTCAGCCGCAACCAATAACAGCCCAATACCACTGTCCCTGACCTCGGGTCAGTTTCTTAAAAATGGCTCCATTCTTTGGAGGGCCTGCAAAGCCTGAGGAATGTTTTTTTGAAATTTTTTTTTTTTTTTTTACAAAGATTCACTGCTTTTCCTGCTGGGATTCTCAGCTGAATCTCCGATAGATATGCTTTTATTGGGAAGACTGTCCTCCCTCACTGACTCTTATTTGGGCCTTTCACACTTTAATTGGCTAAAGTTGAAAAATATATCAATTGCATAAAGCACCCCATCTAAATGACATGCTTTACCTTTAAACTCACCATTTACATAATCCTGGCTTATCTTCTTCTGTGTTTTACACTGTTCATACTTTGCCCTAGGGTTAACGTCTGTCCTGGGTCAGCATTGTTCAAGTTTTGGGTTAGCAATATTTATTTGCATATTTATAGTGGAGAAAATAATTATTTGAACCCCTGATGATTTTGTAAGTTTGCCCACTTACAAAGAAATGAAGGGTCTATAATTTGTAACGGTCAGACAGAATATCAACCAAAAAAAAAATTCAGAAAAAAACACATTATATAAAGGTTATAAATTGATTAGCATTTGGTTGATTGAAATAAGTATTTGATCCCCAACCAACCAGCAAGAACTCTGCCTCCCACAGATTGGTTATGTGCCCATGTGGAACACAGATTAGCCCTGTCACTTTAAGAAAGTACTCCTCATGTCAGCTAGTCCACAGAATCTGTGTCCTTCATTCCAACCTCTCCACCACCATGAGCAAGACCAAAGAGCTGTCAATCCTGGACGAGAACCTCCTTCCTTCAGCCACTTAGGGTTGGGTTGTGGATCGGTCTTCCAGCATGACAATGACCCCAAACACCCTTACGGAAAAAAAACATATGGATATATACTGCAAAATATAATGCAATATAAAATACATAATGTTTTCATATATGGGATTTGGTAAACTAGTGCTTATATTTTGCAATATACTGCAATATGTGCATTTTTATATATTAATGGATATAAAATATTTACAAATGAAGACAAAATAGCATTACATGTGATATTCACAAAGTTTAATTCTTTATTGTGTACATATACAGTATTGCACATACATGTTCCAATATAAATGTGAATGTATTTTTACATCCATTCACACACACACACAAATTCACGGAATGAGTTACAAATGTTAAAACTAAGTGTTGTTTAATGTGTTTTGCTCAATATTAATATTAATAGGGGAGATCTTTTAGTGTTTAATGTTCTATTATTTGGGAATTGAAAAGGTTTTCTGGCATGTGTGAGTTGTTGGGGTCATTGTGCTTTGCTTGATGATTGGCCTGAACACATTAAGACTATATTTACTATATTTAAAAGTAATGGCCGTATACTCCTCAGCACAGTGATGTACTTTTGGTTAAATACTTTAATACATGAGCTTTTGATATCTAGTTTGAAAATATTAAAAATGTAAAATCTCAATAATAATGATAAAAAAAAAGAATTATATTTAGGGCTGTCAAACGATTAACCACGATTAATCGCATCCAAAATAAAAGTTTGTGTTTACATAATATATGTGGGTGCACTGTGTATAATTATTTTATATATATAAACACACACACATGCTTGTATATATTTAAGAAATATTTTCATGTATATACTGTATATAGATTTATATATAATTTATATATAAATAATATTTTTTTCTTAAATATACATGCATGTGTGTGTATTTATATATATACAAAATAATTTTACACAGTGCACCCACAAATATTATGTAAACACAAACTTTTATTTTGGATTAATCGTTTGACAGTCCTGATTATATTACATTATGTATTTCTCGATATGTGTTGAGTAAATAGATTACACATGCAGAACCATATCTGATCACATGTACATCTATATATTGTGAAGTGTATTACTGAATATAAAATTACATACATTACATTATATTATACATGCATATATTATTCATACATATATTAGTAAATATATTTTCAATATATGAAAAGCGGCACTCCCTTATGTATTATTCACTATATTGTAATACTTACAAAATCAGCCGGGGATCAAATAATTATTTTCCCCACTGTACAAGGTTATCAACATTGATTGGACATGTTTTTAACAGATGTTGTTGTGAGGATGGTCAGTGTGTTGGCTAAACAAGCAGAAGAAAAAAAAAACATTGTGTGAAATTTCTGCAACTGAAAGCTCATCAATATTTCATGAGCACACTCATAGTTTCTGTTTCTAAACAACTCGCTGTCTAAACATGTTTTCCGATCTGTACACTACCAGGATTTAAAAAAATATATATTTCTCATTAATTTAAAAACATGTTGATCAGTGAGATTAAGCTTAAATGCTGGGAATTAGTTTTGCAAGCAAGCAGAGCAAATACAGAACGTGTGTGTCCGTGTTCTCTGAGAGACATTAAGGTTGTTATTTGTTGCATTAGACAGACATATTAACCATAATTTGTTGGCACCCTCTCCAGATCGAGCGCCTGATAGCAGAAAACACTAAGCTCAAGCTGCGACTCGTGGATGAGGAGGTGGTTCAGCAGGCCATTAAGGACAGAGACCATGCCATCGCAAAGTAAATATTAAACACTTACTTCAAACTGTGGTTCCTTGAATGAGAAAGACAATATACATAATATAATTATCATTTATTATAGAAAGGTCATTTTTAAGAAAGTGTTGGTTTCCTTTCACGCAGGAAGACAGCGATGGAAGCAGAGCTGCTGAGGACGAAGCATGATATGATGTGTTTAAACAACCAACTACTGGAAGCCATTCAGCGTAAACTGGAGCTGTCGCAGGAACTGGAGGCCTGGCAGGTAGAAAACCGTAGTTTGATCACAACAGTGGATTTATAAAAGGATTTGCAGTTGTTAGGATAATGTTTGTGATGCTGTTCAGTAGTTGTGCTCTGTCTCCCCCTGCTGTTCACAGTGGAAGCATGCGGCTGTTTTAAAGGAGTAGTTCACTTTTGAAAAAACTTTTGCTGATAATTTACTCACCCCCATTAGATGTCCATGTCTTTCTTTCTTCAGTCGAAAAGAAATTCCAGGATTTTGTCCATATAATTCAAGGTCCAAAAGACAGTTTCAGTGCAAACTGTGCAAAGGGTTTTAAACGACACCTGACGATGAATAAGGGTCTTATCAAGCGAAACGATCGCTCATTTAATAAATAAATAACAAAGTTTAAGATTTATATGCCCAAATGATCGCCTTGCTCTGTTCTGTGACGCACGTTTGTGACTCTCCTGTTCGAACTCCTTCATCAAAATGAACAAATCGTTTTTCGAGTCATTTGGTTCATTCAACAAACAAAACGAATGAAATGACTCAGAAAAAGATTCATTCATTTTGATTCATTCATTCATTTTCATCACAGAACAGAGCAAGGCGACCATTTGAGCTTATAAAACCCTTATACCCTTATTCATCGTCTGGAATCGTTTAAAGCCCTTTGAACAGATTGCAGTTTGCACTGAAAGTGTCTTTTGGACCTTGAACCGTTTGGTTCCCACTGAAGTCCATTATATGGAGAAAAATGCTGGAATGTTTTCATCAAAAACCTTCATTTCTTTTCGACTGAAGAAAGAAAGACGTGGACATCTTGGATGACATGGGGGTGAGTAAATTATCAGCAAAAGTTTTTTTCAAAAGTGAACTACTCCTTTAATGTGCCATCATGGAACTGTGTTTGAGATGAAATTAATTGATATCACATAGACAAATAATTATGTGCAAAAGAATAAAAACGATTGACGTGTACCCCTCAGGACGATATCCAGATTATCATCAATCAGCAGCTGAGGAGCCAACAGCAGACAGAACAGCAGCAACTTCACCCGAAGAGATCCACGGGGCGTCTTTCTTTCCTGCGTAAGTCCAGACGGCCTTCTTCTTCCCCCACGGTCGTGTCGGCCGAGATCGGCCCAGAGCAGAACCTGTCCCACTGGAGAGACTGGCTCAGACTGAGCAAATGAACCTCAGACACTTATGATCAATGCTAAAAACACATTCTAACTATGTTAGAAAACAATGAAAAACAACAACAACATTTCTTTTCTTGGAGAAAAGTCCTGCCTTCACATGTGCAAAAACACTTGGTCACATGTGGAACACACACTTTGCACATGTGAAATCCATGTGATGGCATACTCATGTGGTTTTTCAGGAAGGGTTGGCTGAATCTCACAAAAATGCATTTCTCCCCAAACTCAAAAAATAAAAAACAAGTCATATTTTGAATGAAGATAATGCATCCTTTTACAAATTTTGACAATCAAGCACATTTTCCTTTTAAAATTCTCATAAATGTAATGAGTCCAAAAGTTTAGCTTTTATTTTATTAGTTTTGTGAAATGAATGAGCAAAAATGAATAAAATATAAATATTCTTAAATAATTCTTTATTTAAGAATTAAACGAAACATAAATACTGTGGTACATACGATGGTATATGAATATTTTACCATTTCAGAATCCCTGTATTTTTGCATTACGGTAATAGCGATGAGATATTTTGTTGTGGTAGTGAAATGTGCTGTGGTTGTAATCTTTTTGTTCCTTTTTCAATCCTTATGCAAAATAGGATTTCTTTTTTCTTTCTGTTGACTTTGGAGTGAAATGCTTTGCTTTTAAAGGCTTTTGTGAGATTTAATTGTATATTATGAGTATTTATACTTACTTTACAGTCATATGATTTTGTAGAAAACGTGTTTATTTAAATGGTACTATTAATTTACATGGTAATTTTTTGCTGCTGTCAAACCCTAAATGTAAGTGATGAGAGAATCAATACAATGACATCATGCTGGCCATGATCTTGTTGATTTGAATGGCATTTCACATAATACTATTATGATATAATGACATTACACAGAAAGAAACATTTACCTGAACTGCAAGTATGTGGGCATGAAAGTATGTTTCAGTAGACTATAGTGAAATACTCAAAATGGTGCTTAAGATTACAAAAACTGTTCAATGCAATAATGCTCCATATCAAATGAAGAATCTCAAACTTGTGCCATTGTAATGATCTAAAGCCTATTCACACCAAGAACGATCACCGTAAAGATAACTCGACTAGCATTCACACCAGCACACGTTTTAAATGCTTTAAATGCTCCTTAAAGCAGGATTGACATTTTTTATTGTTCATCAGCTGGAAATCGTTCTGAAAGCCATCCCAACGATATAATTTCTTGACTTTTAGAACCATATCTTTATTGTTGTAGTTATCATCCTTGGTGTGATCGGCCCTTAAAATGATTCGATGGTCTTTGTGCTCTGGCACAGATCTTCTGCTAGAAGCGAGTTATCATTAATGCTGTTTTTAAAGCTAGTTTTGTATGTAATTGATGTATTTTTCAATGTGACAGATTTATACAATTAAATGTTTTTATTATGAACAGTCTTCAGAATATTTATTGAGAAATGCATTTGCACACCAGCAATTTATGTTTTCCGTTGTAAAGATCATTAGTTATCAACTTACTGAGCCCGTCACACGGCACCGTTTTAACTGAAAACTGAAAACTGGCCGTTCATTTACACCACAACAGCGTTTTGGTGGCCTGAGAACACAAACTTTGAAATAGTTTTTTGTGTGGCCTCTTCATCATTGGTAATACACGGCAATACATTATTATAATTCATTTTTTTAAAGGAAAAAAAGGTATACATTGAACAAACTTATACACGGAACAATGAAACAACCCCAGATAATGAATGTTCACTAATACAACATCACATTGTCCAGGTACAAAAGCCCATTAACCTAGTCAAGTCATCACATTTCTTCAGGGAATGAGCCAAGTATATCAGAGAAAAACAAAACAAAAGAGATAAAAAAAAATCACAACAAATTAGTCATTCAGTAAGACGGATACAGTGTGCACAACATGACATTTTGTTTCCCAGGTAAAGGTGGATATTTGAAGAGTTCAGATGCAAAAGCCTCTAAGTGCCATTTGAAATTTTCTTCTAGAATGATCATTTTTATCAAGCTTGTATATTTAAGTTCAGTGAAATTACTGAACTTAAATATACAAGCTTGATAAAAATGATCATTCTAGAAGAAAATTTCAAATGGCACTTAGAGGCTTTTGCATCTGAACTCTTCATTTATTGATTGATTTAAAGGGTTTTAACAGAGAAAAACCCTTTCAACAGAGAAAGTACTCCCATCTTCACGAATGTATTCTTACAGCCAAAGTAAAAGGAAGACCTCACCTCCTCTTCAAATCCAGATTAATTATTATAAGGAAACTATTCACTTTTTTGTATTTCATTTTATTTCCCGAAAACTTCCAAACTAACCTGATCTCATGTGGGATCACTCTTGTAAAGTAAAATATCTTCTAGAGATAGAAACATGCAATGTTCAATACAGCCTCGCTCTTGCTTAATGGTTTGACTGGTTTTATCGCTGCATTCAGTTGCAAAAAAAGGGAATGAAGCAACATGGGTATCCTTGATACATATCCGTCAAGTCTAAAAGGAATTTCAAACTATTTAGTGAGGAATATAAACCCTTGCAAATACTGTTTGTTTTAGGTTGCTTGTTAGCCTTTATCTTTTGCAGGGATAAGAAGCACCTTTACTTCTAAGCTGGTGAACCAAAAGTTATTTGATTTGTATTAGAGATTAAGCTTCTCCAAAGATCTACATGCGTACATTTTAAGATTTTTGAAGGCCAAAAAAGGGGGAATTGAAACCATGTCTGTGGGCACAAAATATTTGTAAAGCATATAACAGATTCTTAAAGATGAGAATCTGATAAAATGTTACATTAAATGATGGACACTGGAAATACAGAAGAGTTGTCTAATTTCTTTCCTCCCAAAGTGTATTAAAAACAGTTCAGTCAAATATACTTTTATCATTTTGGATTAAAATGATAGAAATTTGTCTCATAAACATAAGCAAAATGTGTTTTATATGAGCTATTTGTTTGAACATAAAAGCTCAAATAGTTTCAGTTGCTTTCTTTCCTGAATTGACATGTTTCAGTCACAGTCACTTGTGGCCTCCTCCTTGGCTGAATGATGTAATTTGCACTGAAGTCAGTCTGTTCGCAATGTTCCCAATGCTGATTGCAGTACATTTACTGAATGTATGTACACATTCTTTATTAATCATATGCTGAATATGCTGAAAACAGCTCCCCTAATGTCACAAACATGAATCAGCTTGTCATGATTCAAAAATAAGCAAAAGTATATTAGTTTGCAATGATGATTAAGTGTTTGGAGTGTTTACGGTATGGTTTGTATCAACCAAAAGAGCTACAAGAAAGGACAACCTTTGAACCAGCATCAGGCATCAGTGTATTCCTTACCGCTGAAATTGTTTCGAAGTCACAAAAATGGTGATCAGTGTTCCATTAGCTTGGGATCTTGGGCCCTCTGTATTTATATTTAAATTTCTGATCTAGCCAAGTTAGAAATGTGAAAAAAAAACAACATTTGCTAAAATTATGTTAATTAGAATATGAAATTGTTCAGTCAAACTATTCTTAGCATGAATGTGAAGATTGTATTTTAGCATTAAAGGGTTTTGTTCACCCAAAATTAAAATTATATCCCGTAAGACCTCTTACGTCATCTTCTGAACACAGTTTAAGAAGTTTTAGATTTTGTCCGAGAACTTTCTGTTCCTCCATTGGAAATGTGTGTACGGTATACTGTCCTTGTCCAGAAAGGAAATAAAGACATCATCAAATAGTCCACGTGGGTTTGGTAGAATGTTTTGAAGCATTGAAAATATATTTTGGTCCAAAAATAACAAAAACTACAACTTTATTCTGCATTGTATTGTCTTCCGGTTCTGTTGTGGATCTGCCTTCAGTGATGCTGTTGACGTGTTATCAGAGCGCCCGAGCTTCGCTTACAGTCTGAGGGAGACGCACGCTGCAAACAAAACAATCTTCGCAAACATGTCTAAGGATTTCAACATAGAGGAAGACCAGCCATATTTATTTGAACCCGAATACACGAACACACCAGATGACACGTCAGCAGCATTACTGCAGAGTCGTGAATGCGGATTGACAACAGAAACGGAAGACAACGCTGAATAAAGTCGTAGTTTTTGTTATTTTTGGACCAAAATAAATTTTCGATGCTTCAAAAAATTTGAACTAATCCACTGATGTCACATGGACTATTTTGATGATGCCTTTATTTACTTTCTGGACAAGGACAGTATACCGTACAGAGATGGAACCAATCAGTATATGGGGACGATGAGGAGGCCATGATGGACAGAGGCCAATGAGCAAATGTGGCCAGGATGCCGGGGTTACACCCCTACTCTTTTTCCAAAGGACATCCTGGGATTTTTAATGACTACAGGACCTCGGTTTGATGTCTCATCCGAAGGACAGATTTATGTGTTTTTGGTTATACATAATAATCAAGGCAGGAAATAGGAAGATAAAGGACATGAAACAGTGGACAAGACTGAATTTCAAAACAAAAGACATGAACGAAGAACATGAGACACAATCTAAACAGACATGACATGATCACTAGCATTCAATTTTAACCTGGGATTGTTATTGTGCCTCAAATAAATGTAAAATTCTTCTTCTTTTAGTCAATTATTTTTTATACAGACCTACCATTGACTAAAACTGCATACACTATGTGATATAATCATCACTGTCACAGAGAAAAAAACAACAAAAATGGAAAATATTAATATGTAAAATATAACCATTAAATATGGCCTTTTTGCCAATATCAGCAGAATATGAAACTGAACATTTTCTCCCATCAAACACAAGGTTTCTGTTTTTTTGAGAAAGAAGCACAGATCGTGTGCTTGCGCTGATCACAGATCAGTGACTCTGGCGGTCCCTCACCTTCTCCAGTATCGGTCACGTGACATCAGTTTCCCAGTTTGAACAAAGAGATCTCTGTGAAGTACTAGATTGAGATCTATAAAGAAGACAACACTTAAAGTCATTGGGCTTAATAATGTTATTCATTAGGAAACTGGAAAAATGAAAACCTAAAAATATTTAACAGTTTTACAAAAGGGGATTATGCATTCCATTATATTCTGTTATTATATGATGTACAAATTCCTTATAATGTACATCATAAAGTCTGTTAAATGAAGAAATGTAAAATGTAATTGTTAAAAGTGTTCTGATCACCTGCTAATGTCACCTGTATTGTCTTTTTTATGTGCTATACTTAATGGAAAATTAAGAACACTTTGAAAAAGAGTGCTTATTACAGAAATAATGTATACTTATGTGTATTACTTAACTGCATGCCATTTGCTATTAAATGAAAAATGTATATATCGGTGTAAAGTCCGTTATAGTTTTTAAATGATTTAAAATGTTTTAAACTTTTTAAAACTTTAAAACTTTTTAAAACTTTTAATTAGGCATTATTACAAAGTGCACTTTATAAAGATGCCATTAATACAATCAATACAATTGTTAAAGTATAGTCTGAGATCTCATGTAAACAAAGCACTCATTGATATTTCAGGCTGCGAATCTCAACGTCTGTTATGTTTGTGTTATTTTGACTGTTGTGTTACTTGATAAAAGGTTTTACTTTAACTGTTGCCCTTATTTTCCTAGTAATGCCATATTAAATTAATGACCATGTTTACATGCAAGTTCATATTAGGGTCTTAATTCCCCCAAAAGACATCTGCATGCTTTACGAATGACCCTGCAGACAGCTAATGTCCAAATGAAAGAAATTCTACTGTTTGTTTAATCATTTTAGTTTCTCAGCAAGTAATTTATTCAAATCATTACTTCTCATTCATTTCTGCACACAGCAGACTTTCACAGTGCTTTTATAGACATGGAATAAAGAAAAACACATTACAGTTAGTAGTATGCTTTCCGTCATCTGTTGCATATAGATTTTATATGGATGGAACAACAGTTTAGCAAACAGCTGAATGTAGTTGACCATAAAAATACAGGGGGGGGGGGGAGTTTGACTGCGATTTCACTTTTTTCATTTTAAATAGTGTGTAATGTTGCTGTTGGTGCATGAACAGTATCTGCAAAGTTGCAGCGCTGAAAGTTCAATGTAAGCAGAGATATCGTCTTTTAAAAACCAGGAAGTGTAAACGCCTACAAAAACGACTCGATTGGGACTACAGCTGGGTTATGGTACATCACTAACCCACACATTTGCATAAACCACTCCCTTCAGAATATGCAGGAAAGGGCATGCGCATATTTCTGCAGCACGTCGAGTGAGTTGTGTTCACCCAGCTGACAGGTCTTGCCACGGATGCTACTTCATCAACAATGGATACAATTTATGTTTGATTATATTCCTGAAAGTGACTATCGTAATCTAGCTCTCTGTGCTGCGCATTTTACGGAAGACAGCTTCCAGAATCTCCACGAATTCAACAACTA